CCCACCCTAGTGTAGAGGGGTTTAATGATTATGAGTACAAATACAGAGTAAAAACATACTCACAAAAGTGGATCAATAAAAGCATAAAGATGAGCCTATGCAACTGTAGAATGGCTGCACATATGCCTGTGTGTCAGCACGGGTCTCCAGTGATGACACGTTTCCGGGGCCACGCCCCCTTCGTCAGAACATATCCACTGCCTCACTCATACAGTTTTATTAAGGGAAGTGTAATTGATGCAGACCGGTGAGCAAAGCTCCATGGTGTAAGGACACGGAAGCGTGTCCATGGTGTAAGGACCGGTGAGCAAAGCTCCATGGCGTAAGGACACGGAGGCGTGTCCTTACACCATGGAGCTTTGCTCACCGGTCTGCATCAATTACACTTCCCTTTATAAAGCTGTATGAGTGCGGCAGTGGATTTGTTCTGACGAAGGGGGCGTGGCCCCGGAAACGCGTCATCACAGGAGTCGCGTGCTGACACGCAGGCATATGTGCAGCCATTTTACAGTTGCATAGGCTCATCTTTATGCTTTTATTGATCCACTTTTGTGAGTATGTTTTTACTCTGTATTTGTACTCATGCTAATAGTCCTGTTAAAATCACAAGAGTCAAGTTACATGTGTAAGTAAGATTTCAATGTATTTTTTTCAAATTCTATATCTGTATTACTGTATATGAAATATACTCACAGATGTTTTATATACACTGAGTGGCCAGATTATTATGACCTCCCCATCAGTACTTCGTTGGGCCACCTTTTGCCTTCAATACTGCGGCGATTCTTCTTGGCATTGACTCCACAAGATGTTGAAAGGTGATGTGAGGAATCTGACACCATGCCTGATGAATAGCACTGTCCAGTTCTGGGAGATTTGATGGTTGTGGAACCAGCTGCCTGATGGCTCTTTCAACTTCGTCCCACAAATGCTCAATTGGATTGAGATCTGGTGATTGTGGGGGCCACCTAAGCAAGGTAAATTCTGCCTCATGTTCTTGAAACCACTCCTGCACAATACGAGCACCGTGGCATGGTCTTGTTGGAAATGCCATCTCCATTGGGATACGCCATCAACATGATAGGATGAACTTGATCAGCAACGATACTTTGGTATGTTGTGCTATTCAGACGTTGTTCCACACGAATTAAAGAGCCCAAATCATGCCAGGAAAACATGCCCGAACCATAACACTGCCCCCACCAGCTTGAAGGGTTGTACTCATGCATGTGGGGTGCATGCTTTCATGCTGTTTCCGCCAAATTCTCACTCTGCCATCTGCATGATGCAACTGGAAACGTGATTCCTCGGACCACATTACTTTTTTCCAATGCTCGACTGTCCAATCCTTGTGTTCCTGTGCGAATTGGAGACGTTTTATCTTGTTAACTGCAGACAGCAAAGGTGTTTGAACAGGCCTTCGGCTTCCATATCGCATACGATGCAGTGTATGGCGAACAGTACGTTCAGCGATCATTTGAGAGGATCCCTGATTAAGATCTGCAGTAATTTGATGCACTGTTGCCCTTCTGTTGTCTTGTACCAGTCTTGCCACTCTCAGTTCTGCCCTAAAATTGACTAGTCGCTGACGGCCACAATTCGCACGTTCAGACCCAGATTTTCGGCTGAACAGTCCAGTCTTTAAACACTTTAACAACAGCTGCTCTTGAACATTTAACGAATTCTGCTGATTTGCTGATACTTGCTCCATGGCTCCGAGCGCCAACAATCATCCCACGTTCAAAGGCTGTTAAATCGCGTTGTTTACCCATATCTTCAGAAAAAAATCACTTCTACTGTCGTGGTAAACAACCTGCTTCCCTATTTATAATGGTCTGGCCCTATAGCAACTTCAGCACGAAATTATAGCTAATTTGCCTACAAACGTCAGGTGGTCATAATAATCTGGCCGCTCAGTATATGTTCTCAGTAGTGCTTCAGTAAACCCCTGAAGAAAGGAACAAACATTGAAACATCTCCCTCTGATATATAATGTGTACATACCAATTGTTAATATTGATTTTAAAATGTCTAAATAAATACATTTTGTATTTTTATCCAATATGCAATGCTGTGATTGACTACCTTAAAGTTCATCTTTTCCACTTTGCTTTGTTAAAATCTAACTAATTCAGGTAGGTTATGACCTGATCACTCAATTTCCCATCAGACATGTGACAAGGTCTGTTCTTGCCATTTTTGGTGAGGTCCCTCTCATTGGATAATCATTGTGTCCAGGGCTGAATTCTGGATCTGCAGAAACAGGTGGTTCCTCCTACACTGTTGGATCCCTCTCTGATCAGGTCTTCAGGTCTCCTTGTTTGGACAACACTGGACACTATCTAGGTACTGCTGTGTGTTCACCATCTAGAACAGGGGTAGCCAAACTCTGGCCCTCCAGCTGTGGTGGAACTACAAATCCCAAACAGCTGGAGGGCCGGAGTTTGGCTACCCCTGATATAGAAGGACCAAAGTCCATGCTGCATCGGAGGATGAAGTCTGATTCCGATTGTGAATGGTACCGTGCTTCACATACCCTGCCTTGCCGGTAAAGGTTGTCGTGGAGGGCCCCCGTGTCCGTGTCTGGCAGCAAGCATAACTATTTAGTCTCCTGATGCAGGTTTCCTCCATCAGGAACAGGTAGTATCTTAAGGAATCTATGGAACCTGTCCACCTGAGGTTAGAGCCCTCTTCCTTGACTGTTCCTCATATTCATTAAGGCCTTTCTGACACTGTTTTCTGTTCTGGTATCACTCAAGCAAGTTTTTTCATCATCCTGTTAAGACCCCTGCTCCTTGCTCTATGGATACTGCTGCTTCACTTAATTATTTTTTTCAGCAGAATACTTCTTTGGGTTGCCTCAGAGGAGTCTTTTTCATAATTCTAAGTGTGATTGCTTCATCCTCCTCTCCATCAGGGTTGTAACCTATTCCACCAGTTCATGGTTAGGTTCTAACTTTTATCTCCTGCCTACCCTTGTTGGGGTGTTTTTTCATGCACTTACACCTTCAATCATGCTGAGTTGGTGGGACTGAGTCATTTTCACACCCTTTTGAGGAATGGAGTTCTCGTTTCTTTACCCCTTATGGGGTCAGATGAGTAGATGCTTAGGACCTTTCTACTTAGACTGGCTTTCCTTGTCCTTTCAAGGACATTTTCTCAGGTACTTTGCCTGATAACTGTTTCCACTAGAGACTTGTTCCCTTCCCTTGTTAAACTTGCTATAACAAAAAACAACAACTTTCTTTCCTAGTAAAAATTTAATCATTTTTTCCGACTTAAAATCTTTTATTTAAAATAAAATACACAAATGGAGTGTTACAAACATTACTTGAGAGTAAAACTTTTTTTCAATCACATCGCACTGGAACGCACAGCATTGTGGTACCCCATGTTCAGGTGCAGGCAATCTCATTGGAGGTGGGAGGTGCGTTTGGGGTGACATTGAAATGAATGGCACTGCAAGACACTTCCCGCACCAGAATTTGTCAGGCCAAAACCACAAATTATTATTTATTCTCACCTTTTTTAGTTAACTTTTTTAAACTATTTTTTCAATTATTTATTTATGATATATAATTATAGATTTATAATATACACTATATTACCAAAAGTATTGGGACACCCCTCCAAATCATTGGATTCAGGTGTTCCGTGAAATTCCTTGCTACTAAATATTCCGCTGTCAACTGTTAGTGGTATTATAACAAAGTGGAAGCAACTGGGAACAACAGCATCTCAGCCACGAAATGGTAGGCCACGTAAAATGACAGAGCGGGGTCAACGCATGCTGAAGTGAGCAGAAGTCGCCAACTGTCTGCTACAGACCTCCAAACTTTGCCTGGCCTTCAGATTGGCACAACAACAGTGCGTTGAGAGCTTCATGGAATGGGTTTCCATGGCCAAGCAGCTGCATTCAAGCTTTGCATCACCAAGTGAAATGCAAAGCGTCGGATGCAGTGGTGTAAATCACGCCACCACTGGACTCTAGAAAAGTGGAGACGTGTTCATGGAGTAACGAATCACGCTTCTCTGTCTGGCAATCTGATGGACGTGTCTGGGTTTGGCGGTTGCCAGGAGAGCGGTACTTGCCTGACTGCATTGTGCCAAGTGTAAAGTTTGGTGGAGGGGGGATTATGGTGTGGGGTTGTTTTTCAGGGGTTGGCTTGGCCCCTTAGTTCCAGTGAAGGGAACTCTTAAGGCATCAGCATACCAAGACATTTTGGACAATTTCACGCTCCCAACTTTGTGGGAACAGTTTGGGAATGGCCCCTTCCTGTTCAGGTAAAAACCCCAGTGGTGTTTAAATACCACCAAAATAAAGCTCTATCTGTCCCCAAAAAATTGTATAAAATTCATTTCAGTACAGCGTTGCAAGACGGAATAAACTTCAGTCAAAGTACCGCAGCGCTGAATACTGAAAAATGGCCTGGCCAGGAAGGGGGTCTAAACACCTGGTCTTGAAGTGGTTAAACAGCATGATGAGTAAATCAAATAAAAGTGAAAAAGTAATGTTGTCTAAACTGCTACAATAGCATGAGCAGAAGGATTTATTCACTCATGCTATTGTAGCCTTTCACTTTGTGCAATTTAGACAACATTACTTTGTATCACTTATGTTAATATGTTTATCACTTTCATGAATTGATTTATTTGTTACACTGTTTTATTTTTTGATTATATATTTTGTGTGATCAACTTATCAATTTTTTCACTTTTATTTGATTTACTCATCACGCTATCTGAGAACACATTTTATGGCTACAAAGAGTCTGGAGGAAGTCAGCAGCAATAAGTGTCAATAAAGGTTGAGGAAAGGTAAAAACAGTATTTTCTAAAAGAAAAAAAGTATCAATTATTTATGATAAACCGTGATTCAGCAAACCAAATGCCATTTAGTTAGGGTTTAGATCAACTTTAATATAAATCAAGTACATACAAAAGCAATGCATAAAATGATTGCTTTTATGTAAAAAACGTTATACATTTTTTTTTTCAGAGCGTCACTTAGTGATACTGTAAACCTCTGGAAGAATTTGCTAGCAGGACAAAATTATTCTGTGCTACAAAAGTGTGTTATGAAATTCACTGTGGAGCCATTCAAAGCAGAGCATGCAAAAGATATCACTGACCTTGCTGCTCTTGTAAACATCCAGGATGACATCTGTAACAGGTAAGGCAAGTTTTTGTTGTTAGAGGTCCCTTTACGGGTAGTCCCTGATAACAGCTGCTCTCTCTCTCTCTCTCTCTCTGTCGCTCAAAAGAGGTTTGTACTCCAGTCAGGACAGAGTAGTTTGAGCAAGAGTGGTTCAAGGCCATTCAATCTTACAGTTGGAGGGCTGTGAGGGCACTGTCATTCTGTTGCAGGTAATTGGAAATCTTTGCTACAATGTAGGTGCAAATTATGGGCACTCCCTACCAGGGGCGGACTGGGCAGGGTGGCAATTGCCCCCGGGCCTCTCTGGTGCCTCTAAAAACGGCCCCCACCGTGACAATCACTTTTGTCATCTGTCCCCTCTCGGCTGCTCTGCTCCTGCAGTGGCCGAAGGGGAGAAGAAGAAGAAGCTGTTCGACTGCTTTTGACATGACCGTGTCAGTGCCCCGGGCTCCTCGGTGGCCACAGCAGCTCCCTCCGCCCACTTCTACTGCTATAGGCTGGGAGGGAGACTGCACTCCTACTATTGGCTGGCTGTGTAGTGTCTGTGCGGGACCTGAAGAGAGAACATGCACCAAGTGGCTGCTGGAGGAATCACCTCACAACGTGCAGGCAACCTCGCTGCTCCTTCCACCCCTCCACTAGGAGAGGAAGAGAAGAGGGCACAGCACCTCAAACAGGAAAGGAAAAGAGTCACTGTAAGTCCATGTTCTTTCTGTGTGACCTCTGCACTGCATTACATGCTGACCTCTACATTACACCGCTGAGCTCTGCACGGCATTGCATACTGACCTCTGACCTCTACATTACACCGCTGATCTCTGCACTGTGTTATATTCTGACTTCAACATTACACTGCTGACCTCTGCACTGCGTTACATACTGACCTTTACATTACACAGTTGATCTCTGCACTGCGTTACATTCTTACCTCAACATTACACCTCTGCACTGCGTTACATTCTTACCTCAACATTACACCGCTGACCTCTGCGCTGCATTACATACTGACCTCTACACTGCATTACATATTGGCCTCTACATTGCGTTACATACTAACTTCTACATTACACTGCTGACCTCTGTACTGTGCGTTATTACTGACCTTTGTACTGTACGTCACACCGCTGACCTCTGCACTGCGTTACATATTGACCTCACATTGCGTTACATACTAACTTCTACATTACACCACTGACTTCTGTATTGTGCGTTACACCACTGACCACTCTACTCTGCGTTATTACTGACCTCTGCACTGTGCGTTATTACTGACCTTTGTACTCTACATCACACAGCTGACCTCTGCACTGTGCATCACACCGCTGACCTTTGCACTGTGTGTCACACCGCTGACCTCTGCACTGCTCTACATACAGACTTCTACATTACACCCCTGACCTCTACACTGCATTACATACTAACTTCTACATTACACCACTGACTTCTGTGCGTTACACCACTGACCACTCTACTCTGCGTTATTACTGACTTCTGTAGTGTGTTATTACTGACCTTTTGTACTCTACGTCACACCACTGACCTCTGCACTGTGCATCACACCGCTGACCTTTGCACTGTGCGTCACATCGCTGACCTCTGCCACGTGCGTCACACCGCTGACCTCAGCACTGTGCGTTATTACTGACCTTTGTACTGTGCGTATACCACTGACCTCTGCACTGTCCGTTAGACTGCTGACCTCTGCACTGTGCGTCACGCCCCTCACCTCTGCACTGTGTGTCACACCGCTCACCTCAACACTGTGCGTTATTACTGACCCTCGTTCTCTACGTCACACAGCTGACCTCTGTACTGTGCGTCACAACGCTGACCTCTGTAATGGGTGTGACACCAATGTACTGCGCGTTAGACCGCTGACCTCTGTACTGTGCATTACACTGCTAAACCTCTGCACTCTGCATTACAACGCTGACTTCTGCACTGTGTTACACCACTGACTTCTGCACTGTGTGTTACACCACTGACCTCTGTACTCTGTGTTACAGCGCTGACTTCTGCACTGTGTGTTACACAGCGGACTCCTACACTCTACGTTACACCTCTGACCACTGCACTATGTATTACATCGCTGACTTCTGCATGACACCGCTGACCTCTGCACTAGATATGTGCGATTAGTTTTGGAAAAATTTGTTATTCAGACGAATTTTCTTTATTCGGAGATTCAGATTCAGAAATGACGAATGAAAACGAATCTGAATTTCCGAAAACGAAATTTCGGACGAAATTAGTTAGTGGTAGTCTGTACAAATTTTTTATTTGTGAGCGCATTTTTGTTGCAGCAAAGTGACATTTAAAAAAAAAAACCTTTTTTTTTTTTTAAATGTCACTTTGCTGCAATGAAAAAAAAAAACGAAAATTCATACAAACTACCGCTAACGAATTTCATCCGAATCCCGAAAATATTTGACTTTCGGACATGAATCCTGAAAAACGAAATAACGCAAAATCCAAATCCAAACTAAACCATTTTTTTTGCCAGTGCACATGTCTACTCTGCACCCTGTGTTACAACAATGACCTCTGCACTCTGCATCACACCACTGACCTCTGCATTATAAACTCTTCACAGAAAAAGCTGAAGGGGAGCAGAGAGAGTCCTAGCTAGTGTTATTACACATGATTTTCGACACCTACAAAGTCCTTCAAACTAAGAATGCACTGATACCAGTATTGGTGAAAGTGCCCTAATACTAAAAACCAATACCGGCGCTTTAATTTTTCAAATTAATTCGGCTGTGTTAGATCCCATGTTTGCTGGGGACCTCTCGGCAGCCTTCTGGGGAACCACATGGTGCCTGCTTACAGCTCTTCCGCCGCCCGCACATCTCCCCCTGCTGAGACCCTCCCCATCCCTTCTGAGACCCGTCACACCCCTCCTGATACCCTCTGACCAAGACATCAGGCTGACACCCCAGAGCAGAGCAGCACAAAGTATGTAGCAAATTAATATACTATTACTCTGCATTGCTGTATAATGTATTGCTGGGATTTGTAGTTCTCTATAGCAGGTGCCATTCTGCATTGCTGTATAATGTATTGCTGGGATCTGTAGTCCTCTACAGCAGGCGCCATTCTGCATTGCTGTATAATGTATTGCTGGGATTTGTAGTCCTCTATAGCTGAAGGTATTATTATACATTGCTGTTTAATGTATTGCTGGGATTTGTAGTCCTCTATAGCCGATGCCATTCTGCATTGCTGTATAATGTATTGCTGAAATTTTTACTCCTCTATAGCTGTTGGTATTATTCTACATTGCTGTATAATGTAATGCTGGGAATTGTAGTCCTTTATAGCCAGTGGCATCCTGCATTGCTGTATAATATATTGCTGGGAATTGTAGTCCTTTATAGCCAGTACCATCCTGCACTGCTGTATAATATATTGCTGAGAATTGTAGTCCTCTAAAGCTGATGGTATTGATCTACATTGCTATATAATGTGCTGAGATTTGTAGTCCCTCTACAGCTTGGAGTCAGTGGCAGAACTACCAGGGTCACAGCGGTCGTGTAGCGCCCTGATGAGGCATCCCTCCGCTACCGTTGTGCTATAATTTTCCTCAACCCAGAAATGTACCAGGTGCGCATGTGCAATGTGCATGAAGAAAGGGGCCATGAAAACATTAGATTCGGATGACGCGGTCAAGAAAATTTATGGGGTCGAGAAAAATTCTAGAACACTGATTTTGACACTGTCCTCCCAACAGCTCACAGCCTAGAAGTCCGGCGGCCTACAGTGGGTGAGAGTGCCTAAGTATCGGACATGGAGTAAGGCCAGAACCATGTAGGGAACCTAGCAGGGGGAGAGTGCTATCCCCCAGCCAGTCGCCCCTTTCATGGATTTCCTAGAGTCCTCACATCACCCAACCATTCACACTACCGTTACATGGATGGCAGGTGGGGCAGGGTAAGAGGCAGAGCCGTAGGGGGGCCAAGTAGCTGCACCATGGGCCTCTGGGTTGTACTTGCCCCCTGGGCTAAAAGTTGCCAGCCCCTGCTCCCTACCCTGGGGAAGCACAGTACATTTGGCCACGCTACCCAGGAAGGCTTGTTAGAACATGATTGTTAAATACTCAAGGATCCCAACCTGAAAAAAAGTCATTTCAGGGAGGTGCCCTCTGTCCCGTCCTGTCCCCCCCATCCACAGGGGGATAGAGAGCACCCGCCTGAAATGATGGTAGATAGCAAATAAGCTAATGCTTCCCTTGCTATCTGCTGGGTTTTTTTTTGTATTCTGACACCTGCTGCCTTCAGAATAAATAAAAAAAACGAAAACAAAACAGCATAGGAATGAATGGCTAGATTGCTATTGGCTGTTTCAATTTGCAATAGCCAATAGCAAGCTGGCTATTGCACCCGTCCTCTGCTGCTGTCAATCAGCAGAGGAGGACCTGTTGGAGAACTTCAGGTCCCCCTCTACTGATTGACAGCAGCAGGGGGCGGGTGCAATAGCCAGTCTGCTATTGGCTATTGCAAATTGAAATAGTCAATAGCAATCTAGCTATTCATTGCTATGCTGTTTTTTCCTCTGACTGATGTTAAAAAAAAAACAACAGCAACAGGTAAAGGTTTAGGCCCCATTCACACACGAATCGGCCTGCACGTACAGCTCCGTGCAGGGCCATACCAAGCAGCTGCCGGGAAGGACAGGTGGTGCGTGTGATTAGTACGCAGCCCCCGTCCTTCTCTATGGGGCTACGCGGCCGTACGCCCTCATACGCTGGCCCACCCTGCACGTCCGTAGGGGTGCGGCTGAGCGTATTCATACGCCGCCGGAATGGATCCTGTATGCGTCCCGGCCAGAAAACCTGCAGTTGAGGTGAGCATAGGGGGGCTGTACGGCCGCGTTGCCCCATAAATAACCACGGGGGCTGTGTACTAATCACACGCAGCACCTGTCCTTCCCGGCAGCTGCTTGGTACGGCCCCGCACGCAGCACGGAGCTGTATGTGCAGGCTGATTCGTGTGTGAATGGGGCCTTACTCTGCTAGA